TTAGCCAATAAATTGCCAATATGCTATATTAATATTGCTTGAATATAGTAATTATCTATTTAACCAATATTCGTTTCCTATATAAATATGTGTGCAATAATGTACCGAAAACATGCCAATACGAATTTTAAACATTGGTAAGAAATAAAAAAGCTGTCCTTAGTGCAATATTGTATTTTAAGTAATACATAATATAACATATTCAATATATATTGGAGAAGTATTAACTAAACAGCATTAAAAACCCTTATGTTAGCAAATAAATTGCCAATATGCTATATTAATATTGCTTGAATATAGTAATTATCTATTTAACCAATATTCGTTTCCTATATAAATATGTGTGCAATAATATACCGACAACATGCCAATATGAATTTTAAACATTGGTAAGAAATAAAAAAGCTGTCCTTAGTGCTATATTGTATTTTAAGTAATACATAATATAACATATTCAATATATATTGGAGAAGTATTAACTAAACAGCATTAAAAACCCTTATGTTAGCAAATAAATTGCCAATATGCTATATTAATATTGCTTGAATATAGTAATTATCTATTTAACCAATATTTGTTTCCTATATAAATATGTGTGCAATAATATACCGACAACATGCCAATATGAATTTTAAACATTGGTAAGAAATAAAAAAGCTGTCCTTAGTGCAATATTGCATTTTAAGTAACACATAATATAACATATTCAATATATATTGGAGAAGTATTAACTAAACAGCATTAAAAACCCTTATGTTAGCCAATAAATTGCCAATATGCTATATTAATATTGCTTGAATATAGTAATTATCTATTTAACCAATATTCGTTTCCTATATAAATATGTGTGCAATAATGTACCGAAAACATGCCAATACGAATTTTAAACATTGGTAAGAAATAAAAAAGCTGTCCTTAGTGCAATATTGTATTTTAAGTAATACATAATATAACATATTCAATATATATTGGAGAAGTATTAACTAAACAGCATTAAAAACCCTTATGTTAGCCAATAAATTGCCAATATGCTATATTAATATTGCTTGAATATAGTAATTATCTATTTAACCAATATTCGTTTCCTATATAAATATGTGTGCAATAATGTACCGAAAACAAGCCAATACGAATTTTAAACATTGGTAAGAAATAAAAAAGCTGTCCTTAGTGCAATATTGTATTTTAAGTAATACATAATATAACATATTCAATATATATTGGAGAAGTATTAACTAAACAGCATTAAAAACCCTTATGTTAGCCAATAAATTGCCAATACGCTATATTAATATTGCTTGAATATAGTAATTATCTATTTAACCAATATTCGTTTCCTATATAAATATGTGTGCAATAATGTACCGAAAACATGCCAATACGAATTTTAAACATTGGTAAGAAATAAAAAAGCTGTCCTTAGTGCAATATTGTATTTTAAGTAATACATAATATAACATATTCAATATATATTGGAGAAGTATTAACTAAACAGCATTAAAAACCCTTATGTTAGCCAATAAATTGCCAATATGCTATATTAATATTGCTTGAATATAGTAAATATCTATTTAACCAATATTCGTTTCCTATATATTTCCTATATAAATATGTGTGCAATAATATACCGACAACATGCCAATATAAATTTTAAACATTGGTAAGAAATAAAAAAGCTGTCCTTAGTGCAATATTGTATTTTAAGTAATACATAATATAACATATTCAATATATATTTGAGAAGTATTAACTAAACAGCATTAAAAACCCTTATGTTAGCCAATAAATTGCCAATATGCTATATTAATATTGCTTGAATATAGTAAATATCTATTTAACCAATATTCGTTTCCTATATAAATATGTGTGCAATAATATACCGACAACATGCCAATATAAATTTTAAACATTGGTAAGAAATAAAAAAGCTGTCCTTAGTGCAATATTGTATTTTAAGTAATACATAATATAACATATTCAATATATATTTGAGAAGTATTAACTAAACAGCATTAAAAACCCTTATGTTAGCCAATAAATTGCCAATATGCTATATTAATATTGCTTGAATATAGTAATTATCTATTTAACCAATATTCGTTTCCTATATAAATATGTGTGCAATAATGTACCGAAAACATGCCAATACGAATTTTAAACATTGGTAAGAAATAAAAAAGCTGTCCTTAGTGCAATATTGTATTTTAAGTAATACATAATATAACATATTCAATATATATTGGAGAAGTATTAACTAAGCAGCATTAAAAACCCTTATGTTAGCAAATAAATTGCCAATATGCTATATTAATATTGCTTGAATATAGTAATTATCTATTTAACCAATATTGGTTTCCTATATAAATATGTGTGCAATAATATACCGACAACATGCCAATATGAATTTTAAACATTGGTAAGAAATAAAAAAGCTGTCCTTAGTGCAATATTGTATTTTAAGTAATACATAATATAACATATTCAATATATATTGGAGAAGTATTAACTAAACAGCATTAAAAACCCTTATGTTAGCCAATAAATTGCCAATATGCTATAATAATATTGCTTGAATATAGTAATTATCTATTTAACCAATATTTGTTTCCTATATAAATATGTGTGCAATAATATACCGACAACATGCCAATATGAATTTTAAACATTGGTAAGAAATAAAAAAGCTGTCCTTAGTGCAATATTGCATTTTAAGTAACACATAATATAACATATTCAATATATATTGGAGAAGTATTAACTAAACAGCATTAAAAACCCTTATGTTAGCCAATAAATTGCCAATATGCATAGCATGCTATATTAATATTGCTTGAATACAGTAATTATCCATTTACCCAATATTCGTTTCCTATATAAATATGTGTGCAATAATATACCGACAACATGCCAATATGATTTTTAAACATTGGCAAGAAATAAAAAAGCTGACCTTGGTGCAATATTGTATTTCAGATAAAATATAAAATAACATATTTAAAAAATATTGGAGAAACATACAAATAAACATTATTCAAAACCCTTTTGTTAGCCAATAATTCGCCAATATTAAAAACGCAATGGTAATAGAAAAATATTGAGCCAATATTTAGCCAACGGTTAGCCAATATTATGTTCTACTTGGGAATTTATAACTTTACATTTATTTATATTTAGAGACATACAATTTTCATTGCACCAGGATTCTGAACTCTTAATGTCAGTTTGAATTTTTTCGCAATCATATAAACTACAGACACTTCACCATACAATTTTAAGTCATCTGCGAGCAATAATATTTTACAATAATATTTTATATTAGCACAAATATCATTAATAAAGCAATTAAAAAGCAGTGGGGATAGATGACAACCCCAGACGATACAGCTATTTTAAATGATTTAAAACGGTTATTAATTAATACTGTTTAAGTCCTGTCATTCAAAAAAATTGTTAACTATTTATGCATATTTCCAACAATCCCTAAGGATACTTGATTAGCAAGATTTTATTTAATACTTTTGTATTTGTGTATTTTGATGATACAATAATTACATTTACATTTAGTATTATTTCACAAGAAGGGCACTTTATTTTAACGAATGGAAGATATTTGACAACTGTCAACTAACTTGAGGCTAACTTCAGCCCGTGACTAAAGTGCTATAAAGCCATAGCTTGTCAATGTTTATTTAAAAGATTACAATGGGCGTTTTAAAGGTAGGAGTAGAAAATAGTATATTATGTATCAAGTTTGAAAAACGCCATTTTATACACGAATTTAATTTAGGCACGAGCGAGCTTGCGAGCGAGTGCTTAAATTAATTAGTGTATAGAATAGTTTATAAACGAGGTGCATACTATACTTTTTCTACGACAAATACTTATTATTATCTTAAAATGATTTAAATAAAAAATTTGTATAGAGCGCCATCTATGAAACAATCTGTGTGTCACCGTCAAATGTCACATTTTTAATATTTTATAAACACAGATTATAAAGGTTAAAAATCGAAATGTTTTTCTTGAAAATTGACAGTTTTTCACAGTGAAAGTAAAGAAAATGTTTTATGAGGGCTTTACAGTGGAGTCCGTGCCCGAATTTAAGTTATAGTTTACTGCCGGCGAAATTCTACAATGTTTATATAAACTTTTCAAATATTAGCGTTGAGAAACTATTTATTACTTTTGTATTTTTGTATTGAGATAATAAAATAATTTTCACATTTAGTATTATTTTACAAGAAAGGCACTTTATTTTAACGATTGTATGACATTTGACAACTGTCAACTAACTTAAAACTAACTTCAGCCCGTGACTAAAGCGCCATAAAGCCACAACTTGTCAATGTGTATTTAAAAGGTCACTTAGTGTCATGGAAACATGTACGATAAAGGGCGTTTTAAAGGTGGGAGTAGAAAAAGATTTAGTTCGAACAAAAACCACTTTAAAGAGAATGCAATATGTACAATATTTTCTGTTAAGTATTTATAGGCCTACTAAATTGTATATAAACAAAAAATAGGTAAATATTTCAAAATAAAAACTTTAAATTAAATATTTTTTCTCAATACAACCTTTATAGTAATACTACTTCCCTAAAAAGTTTTAGGTCTAAGAGCTCCATCCTATTTTTAATGAGTCTACAAATATTGCAAAAATTAAAAAATAAATATATTTTGCCAGCAAATTAAATTTGATATAGATTGACCCTTTAACGAAATACATAAGGTAAATGTACAAACTTGTACAAAAAAGTATATGGAAATCCTTGATTAAAAACAAGTGCAATAAACGTCAATGCATTTAATTAATATTCATAAAATATATAATTATTACAATGTAAAAGAAAGTTATAGGGGAATTTTGATTGATTAAAATATTTTTTTATCAGTAACCACTTGTTTTTTTTGTTTAGTCGCCAATTTTCTTCTACTATATACGTAAATAAATGATACTATATGCGTTTGCGGTTTTAAGGGAATTTTAACTGTTTGTTTCCAAGCATTATATAAGTTTAGTGGAAAATGCGGTTTGGTCACTTCACAACCAAACTTGATTCGAAGACCATCAAAAAAGCAAATAAAAAATTCTTTATTAAGATTAAGTGATAAAAATTTTAATAGAAAAAATAATTATGAATACTGCCTGTTTAGTACTTTTTGCATTGGCAATTTTGTATTCCAGTTGTTTGTGTCTTCCCCCGGGCAGTTATGTTGAGTATAAAATGCATCTTAAGAATTTAAACCAGTCTAAGTTTAAGTGCGGTACTCCTCAACCTCGATTGGTGAATTCTTTATCAATTTTAAATAAGACAAATGTAAGTATTTAACCCAATTTATAAAAATTAGACAATTTCCAATTTGTTGTTATTGTTTCAGGTAAATGTACTTCCAAAGTTTACAGTCCTTTATAAATGCGAATGTACAGGAGTTTGCGATCTACCCGGCTATAGCTGCAGAGCAACGGTCGAAGATCCTGTGACATTGCATTTTAAAGTTAGAAACAAATATCTCATCGGACAAGCCCGTAATGCAAAAACATGTGGTTGTATTATGATGTAAAAAAATAAAAGAATAGGATTGTATGATTGTAAATAATTGTTTTTTTATTTACTCGAGTAGTTATTTATTATTATTTATTTTGTTTATTTATTATAAAAAAGGTATACATATTTGTTAAATACATATATATTTTGTTTCATTTAATTTGTTTTATTGTCATTCCAAAAACGAATGCTGATGTTCTATGGGCGCCTTTTTGCTGGCGGGAAAAACTGTTTATCTATGGAGTTCAATTTTTCAAAATACTAAGCGTGATGAGCATAAGGAGGCACTTGTTAAAAATGCTTATAAATCGTGATTTAAAAATGATTTACAAAAATACATACCTAATATGTATTTTTGGAAATATTTTTAATCATATTATGAGTTGTGTAGAATTAAAATCAGACATAAAACACAAGAAAAATGCAAAAACTGCACAAACTAATCAGGTTTGAACAATGATCATTTTTAAATTTTTAAATCAAAAGCATACTTAAAATAGAAGAAAAATGCAAAAAACTGCACAAACTTTTCAGGTGGGAACAATGATCACTTTTAAATTCATAACATATAGGTACCGTAATTAGATATTAATTATGCTACAAAAACCTGGACTTGAAACTACATATATACCTATAATTATATATACCTTCATCTATAGATGAAGGTATAGCCTTATTTTTAGTTTTAAACCTGATTCGTTGTTTTAGATTCGATTTTTAGCAATAATTATAATTAGACAATCTTCAAAAAGCTGTTAATTGAACAATTTTGGTCCGATTTTATGTAAATTTAAAATATTTGTAGCTTAATTTTATTGCCAAAATACCAATCACAACAACCGCTCGTCTCAAAATATATTTATTAGACTGAGCCAAAAAATCGACTATTTTTTTTTTAAGTATCTCGAAAATATGGTTTGGGGTGACAACAAAAAATTATTGTGAAAGTTTGAGTCCATAATATTAATATTAAGAGGTCATAGCAATTTAAAAAAAAAATTCCTGAACGAGTTTTTGTCTCAGAACTCCCAAACCATTGAGTTTAACAAAATTGACTCAGAAGGAAATTAAATGGTCTACAAAAAAGGTTAAAATGAAATTTTCCTTCAGATGAACCGTTTCCCTAAAATCATGCCTTAAAAATAGGTATAGTTTTACATTTTGATCTTTTAACTTTGGAATTTTGTTATTCATGTAAAAATCACTACCGGAAAAAAACGATGAATATAATCTTTATAGTAATACTACTTCCCTAAAAAGTTTTAGGTCTAAGAGCTCCATCCTATTTTTAATGGGTCTACAAATATTGCAATTTGTCCAAAAATAAAAAATAAATATATTTTGTCAGCAAATTAAATTTGATATAGATTGACCCTTTGACGAAATACATAAGGAAAATGTACAAACTTGTACAAAAAAGTATATGGAAATCCTTGATTAAAAACAAGTGCAATAAACGTCAATGCATTTAATTAATATTCATAAAATATATAATTATTACAATGTAAAAGAAAGTTATAGGGGAATTTTGATTGATTAAAATATTTTTTTATCAGTAACCACTTGTTTTTTTGTTTAGTCGCCAATTTTCTTCTACTATATACGTAAATAAATGATACTATATGCGTTTGCGGTTTTAAGGGAATTTTAACTGTTTGTTTTCAAGCATTATATAAGTTCAGTGGAAAATGCGGTTTGGTCACTTCACAACCAAACTTGATTCGAAGACCATCAAAAAAGCAAATAAAAAATTCTTTATTAAGATTAAGTGATAAAAATTTTAATAGAAAAAATCATTATGAATACTGCCTGTTTAGTACTTTTTGCATTTGCAATTTTGTATTCCAGTTGTTTGTGTCTTCCCCCGGGCAGTTATGTTGAGTATAAAATACATATTAAGAATGTAAGCCAGTTTAAGTGCGGTACTCCTCAACCTCGATTGGTGAATTCTTTATCAATTTTAAATGAGACAAATGTAAGTATTTAACCCAATTTATAAAAATTAGACAATTTCTAATTTGTTTTTATTATTTCAGGTAAATGTACTTCCAAAGTTTACAGTCCTTTATAAATGCGAATGTACAGGAGTTTGCGATCTACCCGGCTATAGCTGCAGAGCAACGGACGAAGATCCTGTGACATTGCATTTTAAAGTTGGAAACAAATTTCTCATCGGAAAGGTCCGTAATGCAACAACATGTGGTTGTATTGAAAAAATTAAAAGAATAGGATTGTATGATTGTAAATAATTGTTTTTTTATTTACTCGAGTAGTTATTTATTATTATTTATTTTGTTTATTTATTATTAAAATGGTATACATATTTGTTAAATACATATATATTTTGTTTCATTTAATTTGTTTTATTGTCATTCCAAAAACGAATGCTGATGTTCTATGGGCGCCTTTTTGCTGGCGGGAAAAACTGTTTATCTTTATAGCTATGGAGTTCAATTTTTCAAAATACTAAGCGTGATGAGCATAAGGAGGCACATGTTAAAAATGCTTATAAATCGCGATTTAAAAATGATTTACAAAAATACATACCTAATATGTGTTTTTGGAAATCATTTTTAATCATATTATGAGTTGTGTAGAATTAAAATCAGACATAAAACACAAGAAAAATGCAAAAACTGACAAACTTATCAGGTGGGAACAATGATCATTTTTAAATTTTTAAATCAAAAGCATACTTAAAATACAAGAAAAATGCAAAAAACTGCACAAACTTTTCAGGTGGGAACAATGATCATTTTTAAATTCATAACATATATATACCTATAGGTACCGTAATTAGATATTAATTATGCTACAAAAACCTGGACTTGAAACTATATATATACCTATAACTATATATACCTTCATCTATAGATGTAGGTATAGCCTTATTTTTAGTTTTAAACCTGATTCGTTGTTTTAGATTAGATTTTTAACAATAATTCGACAATCTTCAAAAAGCTGTTAATTGAACAATTTTGGTCCGATTTTATGTAAATTTAAAATATTTGTAGCTTAATTTTATTGCCAAAATACCAATCACAACAACCGGTCGTCTCAAAATATATTTATTAGACTGAGCCAAAAAATCGACTATTTTTTTCGAAGTATTTCGAAAATATGGTTTGGGGTGACAACAAAAAATTATTGTGAAAGTTTGAGTCCATAATATTAATATTAAGAGGTCTATCATCGCAATTTAAAAAACAAATTCCTGAACGAGTTTTTGTCTCAGAACTCCCAAACCATTGAGTTTTACAAAATTGACTTAGAAGGAAATTAAATGCTCTACAAAAAAGCTTAAAATGAAATTTTCCTTCAGATGAAACGTTTCCCTAAAATCATGCCTTAAAAATTGGTATAGTTTTACATCTTTTAACTTTGGAATTTTGTTATTCATGTAAAAATCAGTACCGCAAAAAAACGATGAATATTCTTAGGCGAAATCAATCATTTAAATGCTCTACAAAAAAAGTCTCTTAACATTTTTGGCTAAATTCACTCAATCAAAAGTTATTCAAGGTCAAGTTGAAGTCAAAACGAAATTCTTGTTTTTTTCCTCTGTACAGATTTATTTTTTTATCGGTGATAATTTGATTTTTTTTCTTTTTAAATGTGTATTATATATCTAATTAACAACTTCCAATAAAAAAACAACATGATTGTTATTATTTAAACTATTAAATAGGTAAAGAAAATAGCGTCTTAAAGCGAAAAAATTAGAATGTGTTATTTTTTTTTAATTTTCAGTAATTTTATTAATATATTGATTATAACATAAAGATTATCATCGATAAAAAAAATTCAAGTTTTTAACTGACCCAAAAAAAATCTAGAGCGGAAAAAACAAGAATTTCGTTTTAACTTTAAATTTAACCGTGAATAACTTTTTATGGAGTGAATTTAGCCAAAAATGTTAGGAGACTTTTTTTGTAGAGCATTTGATTTCCCATAAAAATATTTATTGGATTTTTTTCCGGTACTGATTTTTACATGAATTACAAAATTCCAGTTAAAATATCAAATTGTAAAACTACCAATTTTTAAGGCATGATTGTAAGAAAACGGTTCATCTGACGGGGAATTGCAATTTAACCTTTTTTGTAGAGCATTTAATTTTTTTTTAAATATTCCCAAGTCAATTTTGTTAAACTCAATGGTTTGGGAGTTCTGAGACAAAAACTAATTGGGTCGGTTATACCGCGCGAATCCTGTAATTTTCAATTAATTTTTTGTAGATCTAACTCTAATTTTTAGAGGATTTTTTATCGCTTATCCGCTTGCAAATCAGAATGTAAATTATCACACTCAAAGTTTTGGCGCGCGAAGACATTTTTATATAGTTATGACTCATAACAATTTTAAGCAGTTGCTCCTTTAGTGCTTGTCGTAACGTTTTAGTAAATACAGGCAAACAGACAATTACTTATAATCTAATATTAAAGTTAGTTTTTGTCCCAGATTTTTATTGGTACATTTGAGTGTTGTGGAATATTTTCCGGTGTTTCCGAAATCAAAGTGACTAGAAGTACACCGGGAGTACGGACATTAAACGTACACCGGGTAAAAAAAATCCTTATTTAGCAAATTTTTATATTTGTCAATTGTATAATATAAATATTAAATGGTCGTCAATGGGGCGGGGTCGGTTGGGTTTGATTGTTGAGTTTGGGTTGATTTGAGTAATTCATACTGACATTTCATTAATTTTGTTGTTAATTGTATTTCAATTACTTAATTAAATTTTAATCAATGTACAACTTGAGTTAGCTTAATAATTACATAATTATTATCAAGAGTTCACCAGCTGTTTACCAACTGTTATACAAGTGGGCCTTAGTGTACAGATTTAATTTCAACTAATAAATCCGAAAATTTACCATCAGCTGGTATGGAAACACACATGCGCACAACCCTGATGTACGTTTAATGCCCGTACTCCCGGTGTACAGTCAAGTGCAATACCTCAGTAGCAAGGACATTCAAAAATCGCTTGGGTTGTTCAGTCATATAGAGTTTACTCTAGAGTCTTAAACCATGTAAAACGGTGGTACATCACGCAACGGCTGCAAGCGAATATAAACCTAACAGTTGTACTGCTCCAATGCACGTGACTGTACTTCTAGTCACAGCGTTCCGAAATACTGTTTCGTGCTTTTCTTTGGACAAAAGATTGTTTTATTATTTGATTTTGTATGAAAAACAGACAACTAATACGACTTTTGATGCCCTTTTTTCAGTTTGCGGTAAGTAAGTATTAAAAATATAAACAAAACATACATAGATCAATTTATATTTTACTTGAGTAAAATATATATATAAGGTTAACCTATAAGGTTAACCTAATTATGTTCGTATTATTCAAAATATAAAGTAAAGTAAACACTGTCATTCATTAACATGTATATACGGTTATGTTCGTATTATTCAAAATATACAGGGTGATTCAGACTTGTGGTGACAAATTCCTCTCATCAAAATAGGAAAAAAAGTTCCTATAAACACGTGTCCGAAAATGCTTCATTATCGAGATACAGGATGTTTCGTTTATTTTTTTTTTATTTATAGCTTAAAAACGCTTTGGCCGATTTTATTAAAATGTATATGGTTTATTAAATAATGATTCAAGGATAATACATAATCACGTAAATTTCCTCTTGCTTAAAAATTTACCATAAATTTTAATTTCCCAAGTATCAAAATTTTTAGAAATATTGAGGGCCCCCACCAAATTCGGCCTCAGGGCCTCAAAACTCTTAATCCGGCCCTGACAGTACCTAAATGAACAAGTAAACCTATTTTACACACCTATATTTAAACACTTATAAATGACTTTAGGTTGAAAGTACCTATAAACATTTAAAGGAAATACAACACCGCACTACACTAACAACATAACCCTAATAATATTTCAAATTGTGTTTTCAATTATTTATAATTTATTTGTTCGGTCAAATCAAAATATTTGTTACCTACATAATATGTATTATACTCGTATACATACAAATGTTTAATAATAATCTGTATATTTTATTTAAATGACGTGTAAGTATAATTTTTAGATGTTAATCATAATTCTGTTTTTAAAACTATATTTCTGTAGAAACCCTGAGGATGACTATAATAGTCGAAACTAGTCGGTTTTGAAAAAAAATCTACAAGCGCAGGGAAGTGAATTATTTATTTAGAAGAATCTCCTTAATAGGTAAAAAGAGTTTAAAAAAAAACTGAATTTTTCAAAATCTTCAGATACCTTCAGTAAGTCTTCATCTTATACTGATGCCAAATTTTCAAAAAAAGTCCTTAAATCTGGGAATTTCCAAAAATCTTCTGGATATCCTTAGGAAATCATCTTGTACTAAGCAGAGTTGGGCTTAGTCACTATTATTTTTATTCGATTGACGAATCAAACTAAAAAAATCTAAGAACAGCGCTGTCATTGAATGCATTAAAATTGAAGCAATCTAAATTGTTATTTGCTCAATTAATTACTATTAAACCAAAATAGGGAAATATTTTGCCTAAATGTCAAAGAATTTATTGAGTTAAATGTTTACATAGTATACATACAATAGTAACGTTATTAAATAAATCAAATTAGTATTTAATTCAATAACATTCTACCATTCTAACAAATAAATATCAATATCAATATCAATAGATTTAGGAGCGATAACTTTTGTTGTTAATTTAAAAACAGTAAAAGATTATAAACCAAGTGCTAACTACCTATTGGTATGATAGGAACTGTTATTCAGGAATACGCATTACAAGATCCCATTGGTTTAATGGCTCACCCATTCATGCTATGCTAGCGTTTTTTCTGTATAGTGATTATTTTCGTTATGACTAAATCAATCACGATTAAAAATTTAGTTTTAGTCGCAACTAAAATCAAGTAATCATTAGTTATTAGTTTGATTGAAAAAGATATTTTTTGTATTTGTAAGTTATTTAGTGACAACTGACAGGAAGCAATAAAATGTTAAATTCCGACGAAAAAATCAAACCAAAACCTAACATCCAACTTAGCCATCGTATTGAAGACGTTTTACGTCGCATCGATACCCTCTTATGAAAACTGTCTTTGTAAAGTACAATACGCCTATGCCGTCATCGGCACCAGTTGAACGAATGTTTTCCCATGCAACAAAATCACACAAACTATTCGTCATTTTTGAGAAAAGAGTCGTCATGAAAAATAATTTAAATATAATTAATCGGAAACATTGACGTACCTAACCAAGAAAAAATTATCTGTTTAATTATATGTTAATAACTAAAAAAAGATTATTTATATAAACATACAGGGTGTCCCAGAATATGTGGGCAATCTCCCAGATTCAAATAGAACACATTAAAATAATATAATTTCATATTTTTTTTCCTACGCTTCCCTCTACGGAGATACGGTCCCATAACGGACACCCCTGGAAATCGTTTTTGTTTAAATTACTTTTAAACTACAAGGTGAAATTTAATAATTTTTAAATATATTGTTTACTAGGAAAGTTTCCTTAAAATGGACACTTTTAATTTCATTTGGCTTATTTAGTTTGTCAGGGACGGACAACTCTAACAGAGTAATACTATTTTTTTAAACACCCTGTACTATAAAGGCACAACAATAATATTTTTAGTCAGCTTAAACCTTAAAGTAAAAAAAGGTAATCCTGATCGACATCGATAAAATGTACAGTACCTACATACGAAAAAAAAAATGTTTTTGTATAATAGGGATTTTTACATTTATTTTTATTTTTTTTGCAATGTTTTTTCTTTCATTTACCGATTTGAAAATTTAAATTATGTCAGTGTCAGTTGAAAATAGAGTATTTGAAATTTTCGATCCTTTTATTTTCTTTCCAGGGGCATCCCTTATGGGCCGGTATCTCCGTAGGGGGGCCGTAGGAAAAAAATGTATAGGAAATTGTCATAATAATATTATTATTTTTATGTTTTATATCTAATTGCCCACATATTCTGGGGCCACCTGTATAGGACTTGTTTTTTTGCAAACTATGTATGACTTATAAATGTATAAACCATTTGTATAATTTAATTAATAGTTTTCTTTGCGTTTTCCCCGACATTACTATTTCAATCAAAATTTTAATCAAGATTGAAAACTAAAACTAATTCAATCGATTATTTTAATCTTTTACATGACTAAAACTAATTCAATCGTTAGTTTTAGTTTTAAATCGTCAATCAAACTAAATTTTTGACAACTATGTAGCTGTGCTGCTAAATTTTGAAGTGTTGTCAATTTTCCGAAAAATTCTAGAATCTGGAAATTTTTTTAGATCTTTAGCATACCTTCATTAAGTCATCTTGCATTATTTGACGGTGTTTCCAAATTTCCGCAAATTCCCAGTAGGTACAGTTGTATTCATTAAAAAAGCGTACAAGAATTAGAATGAGAGAAAACTGTCAACATTATTGCGTAAAACCGGCTTTCCACTGACTTAAGTCACTATAACTGACAGGAGAAAATAAAAATGCCTCGTCAGTTAAAAAGGCTTAAATAGTATCAAGAATCGAAGAAGAATGGTCAATTCGTACCGTGGTATAATAGAAATAAAAAATCTATTTAAAAAATTAAGCAACGCTGGGAAAAGGAAGAATTACTAAACCAAAAAGTTGGTCCAGGTCGTCCCAAAATGTCCACCCCTGAACAGGATGCTGCTTTTTTGGGATATCTGAGGATTTATGGGAAACTATACAACTATACTATACCTACTATACTGGAAGATATTAATCCAAATATTGTATTAAATTTAATTCAGTTCATCCCAAATAGATTGGCTCAAGTAATAAAAAAACACGGATGCATGACTAAATATTAATTTTTTTTTAATGTTTCTTTTTTTTCAGTTCTAAAAGGTAATAATTTTTGTAATATTATTTAATTAACCTACGACGTCAATGCTCTTTATAACCTATAGTAATTATTTTAATGACTTATGTCAGTGATAAGCCGGTTTTAAGCAATAATATTATTTTGACAGTTTTCTCTCATTCTAATTTTTGTAAGCTTTTTTATTGAATACAACTGTACTTTGGAATTTTAAAAAATCTTCAAGGTACTTTCAGCTTTCTTGTACTATTTGACGGTGTTGCCAAATTCAACGTGATTAACGTATTTTTTTACATATATCAAGTTTATGAACTAAAAAAAAGAGAAATAGATGGTTATAATAAATAAATTGCAATAAAAGGGGTTCTGAAAAAAATAACCACCTTCCTTATTTAAAAACCAGTGCGATAATACGAGTAGACGTCAATGTATTTAATTAATATTCATAAATAATGTAATTGTTACATTATAAGTATATACTTATAAGAGAAAAAGTTATTTAACGTAAATTAAATTTTATCATAAACGATTAAAAACTGTTTCTCCTTAGGGAAATACCTACCTATGCGTTTGCGGTTTTAAGGGAATTTTAACAGTTGGTCTGCAATCATTATATAAGTTCAGTGGAAAATGCGGTTTGTTCACTTCACAACCAAACTTGATTCAAACACATCGAAAAAGCAAAAAAGGAAAATCTTTATTAAGATTACGTGTTCAAAATTTTAATAGAAAAAATCATTATGAATACTGCCTGTTTGGTGCTTTTTGCATCGGCTATTTTGTGTTCAAGTTGTTTGTGTCGTCCCCTGAAAGAGGGCAGTTACGATGGGTATAAAAAGCATTTTGAGCGTGTACGCCAGTTTAAGTGCGGTACTCCTCAACCTCGATTGGTGAATTCTCAATCAATTTTAAATGAGACAAATGTAAGTATTTAACCCAATTTATTAAAATTAGACAAATTTTAATTTTTTATAATTATTTCAGGTACAAGTACTTCCAAAGTTTACAGTCCTTCATCAATGCGAATGTACAGGAGTTTGCGATCTACCCGGCTATAGCTGCAGAGCAACGGACGAAGATCCTGTGACATTGCATTTTAAAGTTGGAAACAAATTTCTCATCGTACAGGCTCTTAATGCAAAAGCATGTGGTTGTAATAAAGTTTAAAAAAAGGATAAAATAATCCTACTAATTGTAAATAATTGTTTTTTTATTTAGTCGAGTAGTTATTTATTATTATTTATTTTGTTTATTTATTATTAAAATAGTATAGGTACATATTTGTTATTTGTTAAATACATATATATTTTGTTTTATTTAATTTGTTTTATTGTCGTCCCAAAAACGAATGTTCATGTTCTATAGGGGCGCCTTTTTCTACGAAGTTCAATTTTTTAAAATAATAAACGCGATAAGCATAAGGGACACTTTTTTTAAGTGACAGTCAAAATTGCATATAAATCGCTATTTAAAAATGATTTCAAAAAATACATATTAGTTGTGTAGAATCAAAAGCAGACATGAAACACAAGAAAAATGCAAAAAACTGCACAAACTCTTTCAGGTGGGAACGATGATAATTTTTAAATTTATAACAATAGGCAATACCATCATTAAGATAATAATTATGGTACAAAATCCTGGACTTGAAACTATAGATAAAGGTGTAGCCTTATTTTTAGTTTTAAACCTGTACAAGTTCGTTGTTTTAAATACGATTTTTATGAAAAATTTGACAATTTTTAAAGTTCAAAGTGATTTTGGTCCAATTTTATTGAAATTTAAAATATTTGCAGCTTCATTTATTGTGTTAAAATTTCAACTCAAACAAATAATTTTCGCTTCTGGTGTTTGTACTACTCCTTAAATATGTTTCTGGAAAACCATTATTTTTTCTTTAAATAACATGTTTCGAAAAAAATCATGTTTGCTATTTTTTGACATTTATTTTAGTAGTAGTATTTATATTTTAAAACATTTGGTTAAACATTGTCATTGTTTTTGTTTTAAAACCACATACTTCCAGTGGAAGTATGTGGTTTTAAAACTCGTATAAATACATATAATTTATTTAAGAAGTCGTACAAACCCCAGGAGCAAAACTGGCAAATTTTATTTGTTTAAGTTTTAACGCAATAAAGATAGATGAAGCTAGAAATAAAATTGGACCAAAATTTTTTAAGGAAAGCACTTTAAACTAAAAAAATTGTCGAATTTTTGCTAAAAAATCAATTGTATTTCGTCAAAAATAAGATTTTTCTAGAGACCTACTCTATGAATGTGTATAATTAATTTTTTAAATTTAGCTGGGACTTATTGCAAAATAATTAATGATCCTTTTAATATTACTCGTGCAATTTGTGACAAGGCCTTATTTATTGAACGAAGTGCTTAAATTTATTTATTTTTTAAATGATTGCAGGAAGAAGAGGCGACAAAATTTTTATTTAAATCAATAAATATATGTAGGCGCCATTAAAGGTATGTGTAATTATTTAATAAACAATAATATTGCGCTATACATAAATACAGGAAAAGTAATATTTATTAATTAACGTTGATTTCAGAGTAATTTTACAATATGTGTATTTTAAATGTGTATTTAGTTTTTTTGCAATTTTAAATAAAACAAAATTTATTAGATCTTTAGTTTTTTGTTAGCGGTCAGTACAAACACAAGGAACTTACATACATATCTTCTATACATATAAAAGAGTTTGGTGACTGACAGACAACGCCCAGGCCAAACCACTGAACCCAAAGGGCTGAAATTTTGACAGTGCATTCCTATAATGACATGGATAACCGCTAAAAAAAGGATTTTTTTAAATTTCACCCCTAAGGGGTTAATAAAAATCAAGTTAAGTTCTATACGCTAAAGAAGCATCGGGTTTTCGCAACACGCGCGCCATCTGGTGGAGTTCGATAGCATTGTGTGAGTTTAAGAATTGTCAACAATACATTTAAAGCATACGAACTGCATATCATTTTTAAATAAATAAGTAGTTTTTTCACAACATAGAGGAAGGCACTCGACAAATTTTGTTCAATTGCACAGCTAAATCGCGCACGTTATTTGTGTTTTGCGTTACAAGTAAAAAATAAAAAACTTTGGTTTAGCACTTGATTTCGATTAATTATTTCTTATATTATTGATTAGGTAACTCAACGCTTATATGCTTATATATGTAGTTACGTTAGTGTGTGTATTTTATTTAAGTGATCATGGTGAATTATTCTGTTTTTAACAGCACTGATAAAAATGGTATCCGAGTGGCAAAAGAATTCATTCATTTGGAAAATATTGATTCAGTTCAAAGAAATTGTATTTATTTTAAATCCGTTTCCCTTTGGATAAGATAATTGCTGCATTTAGGTGTAATTCTCGATTTTTTTGACATTTAATTACTTTGAGGCATTTAGACAAAAGAATAGTATATTGTTTACCGAGCGTGGAATCATAGCAATTACTCCCGATGATGACAGTTTCCAAGCGAGCCGATAGGCTAAGTTAAAACGCTTACATACTTTAAGTTATTTAAGCTAAACTCTATAAATGCTCACTTTAGTTTAAAAATACACAATTTGAGTGTAAGAATAATCAGTATTGTATTTTGTATCATCAATGTCTTTTATGTTTATGCATAATATGTCTGTATTTATAAACAATGTCTTTTATGTTTTTAGTAACAATTATTGCAGTTTTTTTTATTTATAAACCGGATTTTGTTCCAAAAAATAAATTACTTAACTTAAATGCAAATATATTTAAATCCAGACATCCTACTTTTGCTACAAATTCTTAAGTTTTTAAGAACAAAAACCTAAGATTTTCTTGTAAACCTGCTTTTCTTTATTTCAAATTACTCAAGCCTTTGATCCACATCAGTACCGAGCTATTAATAAAAGCTTTCTTTGTAACAGACAAATTATAAAATGATCTCAAAGAAATAACGTATTTGCTTCAAACCTTCATTCATTTGGACCTGTCCAAAGTCTCAATTCCTTTGAAAAAAGTTTTTTAAAAAATCTGGAAAATTTTCAAAATCTTCAGTTATCTTCAGTAAGTCATCTTAAACTATTAAGCGGTGTTGCCAAATTTAAAATGAATCCATGAATCTGCTAATTTTTAAAAATCTTCTGGATATCTTTAGCAACATGTAGCTGTGCTGCTAAATTTTGAATCCCAATGCGTACTGATACGAATATCTTTTCAACGGTTAAAATAATCAATTATACACATTAAACCTTTTTTGTAGAGCGTTAAATTTACTACAAAAATACATCATACTCATTTAAAAATAATCATTTTTTAATTAGTATTTTATTTAACAAATTCTTTAAATTTTGATCTTGAATATCTTTTAAATGGTTAGAGTAATCGCTTAAACACATCAGTCCTTTTTAGAGAGCATTAATTTACTACAAAAATATGTATAAAGATTTGATTAAGCGATTAATTAATAATGAAATATCGTCTTTTTATAAGGGACTACAGAAAAAATGGAAAATAAGGAGGATCTTCCTATTAATATTAAGAGCTCAAATTTGGTGAGCACTTTCTACACAGAAAAAACGCTAGCATAGCATTAATGGTGAGCCATTAAACCAATGGGATCTTGTAATCCGTATTCCTGAATAACAGTTCCTATAATACCAATAAATATTTAGCACTTGGTTTATAATCGTTTACTGTTTATAAATTAACAATAAAAGTAATCGCTCCTAAATCTATTGATATTTATATTGATATTTATTTTCTATTTTATGTTAGAATGTTATTGCATTAAATACTAATTTGATTTATTTAATAACGTAACTATGTATACATTTAACGCAATAAATTCTTTGACATTTAGGCAAAATGTTTCCCTATTTTGGTTTAATAGTAATTAATTAAGCAAATAACAATTTAGATTGCTTCAATTTTAATGCAATCAATGACAGCGCTGAACCAATTTTTCGGTGTCGAAAGTAAAAAAATAAACGATTTTTTTAATCACCCTAATATATATATATATTAGGGTGTGCCAAAAAAACTCGATATTTTTTTTTTCTTGCTCTCCACCCAAAATATCGTAGAATATGTCCAAACAAATATTCTGTTAAAAGCGGAGCTCATAATTTCAATTTTAAGAGGTCCCTCATCGAATCTGAAGTTTTGCCGCTTAAATAGCACAGAAAACTGTCTTTTTTACCTTATTTATTCTTGCAACCTAGGAAGAAATTTTTTTTTCATAAAATGCATGACCAAATCTTACAAAGCATTAAATTTGGACGAAAAAATCTTATTAAGCCGAATTTCTATTTTCATTATTTGATTTTTTACAGAGCTTTAAATTTAAAATTTTACGTTTTTTGCCTTTTTCAGCTAAACTATTGAAGTTAGACGAAAAAGTTAAATGGCAATTTTTTAGCTTGTCTGATGGACCACAAAAAAGTTTTGGGCGAATTTTTTGTATCGTCAATATTCTAAAAGTTACAGGCGTATAAGTTCATCATTTTTGTATTATTAACTTTAAATTTAAAGCTCTGGAAAAAATCAAATAATGAAAATAGAAATTCGGCTTAATAAGATTTTTTTGTCCAAATTTAATGCTTTGTAAGAATTAGTCATGGATTTTATGAAAAAAACAATTCTTCCTAGGTTGCAAGAATAAATAAGGTAAAAAAGTCAGTTTTCTGTGTTATTTAAGCGGCAAAACTTCAGATTCGATGAGGGACCTCTTAAAATTGAAATTATGAGCTCCGCTTTTAACAGAATATTTGTTTGGACATATTCTACGATATTTTGGGTGGAGAGCAAGAAAAAAAACACACCCTAATATATATATAGATATATAATAGACGTTTTCATAAATAATATAATTGTTACATTATAAGTATAACAGAACAAAGTTATTTAAATTTAAAGGATAAGAATGAAATATTTGTTTATAAGTAACCACTATAGTCGCTAATTTATTTCTACTATACACTTAAATTAAATTTTAACAAACACGATTAAAAATTTTTTCTTCTTATAGAAATCCCTAACTATGCGTTTGCGGTTTTAAGGGAATTTTAACAGTTGGTCTCCAATCAGTTCAGCGGAAAAACCGGTTTCACAACCAAACTTGATTCGAACACACCATCAAAAAGTGATCAAAATTTTAATAGAAAAAATCATTATGAATACTGCCTGTTTAGTACTTTTTGCCTTGGCTATTTTGTGTTCCAGTTGTTTGTGTCGTCCCCCGAAAAAGGGCAGTTATGCATAATGATGAGTATACAAAGCATATTGAGCCTGTACGCCAGGTTAAGTGCGGTACTCAGTGGCGTAGCTAGGTATCAGACCCAAAAGTCGCGCCTATGGGGGGGGGGCTTTAGAATCAAACCCAAAAATGTCACCATCATCTTTTTATGCAAAGAGATTGATCAGATAATCAAGACTTAAAG